TGTCTTGTGTTGGAATTTAATACCCATTGAATACCCATTGTTGAAAGTTCGTTTTTCACCTCATCCACCTCACCCAAATGTAGATATAAACCTCGAAGATGTGTAAAGCTCTATTCAGTTTCAGTTGTGTGTTTGTAAACTAAAATCTTTGAAAATGTAATAAGTTTTACGAAACGCGCTCAAGTGTCGCGTCAGACTAGAAATAAAAATGAATTTTGGAGAATTGATCTTTGAATTACCATCAACAGTGAAAAGAAACATAAGATAGAGAAAATTCGTGTTAGAATTATTAATCTTACTTTTTCGGTCATATTTAATAATTTATTTATTTATTTATATACAAGAAGGTACATAGGGTTAGAGAGAATACATAGCATAGTATTTACAATCTTGTACAGCCACTAGTACGCACAGCGTTTCGGGCAGGTCCTTAATCTAACAGATAATTTTAAGTAGGTAAATTCTAGCAGAATTAATAAAATGATAACAAATCAAATCAAATCAAATGTTTATTTAGGTAAGGTACATACATACAAGAGATATTACAAAGAGTGATGGATTTATAGATAGGGCTAGTACATACAATGCCTAAAGCCACTATTACGCAAAGCGTTTCGCGCATGAGAAACTTAAATGACTAAAGCTTAATACTAATTGAGCATAAAGAATAAAATGAGTCGAGAACAAATAAAAAAAAGAGATAAAAAGAGGGGAACATGGCTGAAAAAGCAGCACATAAAAGATACATTGCAAGAAAAAAAATGAGATGAGAGAGAATAGTAAGTATATTAAAGCACATTGGTATATTAAAGCTCTGGTTGATTACATTGACAACTTGATTGGTAATTTAAACAAGATTAACAGACACCGTACAGCAGATTGATAACACATATAAGAAGACAGCAATGATCACAATGGTAAAGATGTTCGGATTGGGTACATAAAGATAGGGAGATTGGGTAGCAATAGATACAGTGCAATTTTAAAGCAACAAGGTAAAAAAACTATGCAGATGAGATTAGGTACTTTTTAGTTTTGTTTTTGAAAGACGCAAAAGTTGGACAGCTTTTCAATTCATTAGGGAGTGAGTTCCATAGACTGGGGTCCCTTTATTTGCATAGAGTGTTTACACAGATTAAGTTTGACTCTGGGGATATCAAAGAGATATTTATTTCTGGTGTGGTGATAATGGGCCCTATTACATCTGTCCAGGGAGAGCTTCAGAGCAGGATTTGCGTTTAAGAACAGGGTTTTGTAAATGTAACTGACACAAGAAAATTTGTGGAGTGAGATTATGTTAAGCATGTTAAGGCAGTTAAACAAGGGGGTGTTATCTGAAAGCAGAATTTGTTATTATTCTGATAGCAGATTTTTGCTGGGTGATGATGGACTTGAGGTGGTTTGCAGTGGTTGAACCCCATGCACAGATACCATAATTAAGATAGGGATAGATTAGTGCATAATATAGAGAGATGAGAGCAGAGTTAGGTACATAATATCTGATTCTGGAGAGTATACCAACTGTTTTAGAGACTTTCTTAGTTATGTGTTGTATGTGGGTGCTGAAGTTGAGTCTCTTATCTAGGAATAGGCCAAGAAACTTTCCATCATTTTTATTGCTAATGTTTACATTATCTATCTGAAGCTGAATTGCATTTGTAGATTTGCATCCAAATAAAATGTAGTAGGTCTTTTCTATGTTAAGTGTTAGTTTATTGGTTGACATCCATAAGTGGACTTTTTTTAGTTCATTATTAACAACATCATTTAGTGTATGTGGGTTGGGGTTAGAGTACATGAGGGTAGTATCATCAGCAAACAAAATAGGTTTCAGAATGTTAGAGACATTAGGCAGATCATTGATGTATATAAGAAATAGGAGAGGTCCCAAGATGCTGCCCTGTGGCACTCCAACGGTTATTGGTAGAGTGGGAGAGGTGATATTATTGATGGTTACACACTGGAATCTGTCACTAAGATAGGATTGGATATAGTCCAGTGCATGGCCTCGGATTCCATAATGATGGAGTTTACGTAAGAGGTAATTGTGATTAACAGTGCCAAAAGCCTTTCTCAAGTCAATGAAGAGTCCAATCGGAAACTCATTTTTGTCAAGGGCTGAGTAAATTATATGAAAAAAGACTAATAATTGCATCGTTGGTACTCTTGATTAATATCAAGAGGTATTACTTAACGTTGGTACTTAATTAATTGGTAATTACGTTGGTACTTAATTAATATCTAACATATTCAGAGATTTGAGTAGGGGTACTGAGTGATGTCTGGGACCAGAGTTGGATATTGCCCTAACAGCAGCTTTGTGTTGAGTAATTAGAGGACGTAAATGATTTTGGGTAGTAGAACCCCAAGCACAAATACCATAGTTGAGATAAGGATAGATGAGAGAGTAATAGAGTGTCACCAAGGCAGGGCGAGGTACATAATATCTGACCTTAGAAAGAATGCCAACAGTTTTTGAAACTTTTTTTTTATATATTTAGAATGTGTCCCTGGAAATTCAGCTTCTGGTCAATGAGAATGCCAAGGAATTTGCCATCTACTTTGTTACAAATTTGGGTATTGATTATCCTGAGATTTATTTGATTTGAGGATTTATTACCAAACAAAATATAGAAAGTTTTGTCAATGTTGAGGGTGAGTTTGTTGACAGTTAGCCAAAGATGGACTTTTTTTAGCTCAGTATTCACTGTGACATTTCTAGAGCAAGGGGGTCAGGACTGGAGTAAATGAAGGTTGTGTCGTCAGCAAATAGAATTGGTTTGAGGTGTTGAGAGGCATTTCATCATAACCTCTCCACTTACTTCAGGGATAATCATTCATAGGACCACAGACCATTACCCCACATTTCTCCTAACCAACATTAATAAACCACCTCAAGAGACAATGAAGATAAGCTATTGGCTGCACAATAAAACTTCTATAAGCAATTATATTGCTACTGCTGCTAATATCAACTGGGAGAGCTGAATTAGGTAACATAGGGAACATCAACCTAGCAGTGAAAACATTTCTTTAGAAAACTCTCAGCCTCTATAACATCCACTGTCCATTTCTAACGAAACAAGTCACAACTAAAAGGTTAAACAAGCCATGCACGGCTTACAAAGGGTATACTTAATTATATTAATAAAAAAACATGACCTTGAGAAGAAGTATAGGTTAGGAGTCATCCTCAAAGAATTTTCAGAGTTACTCATCAATGCTGTCAAAAATAATTAGGAGAGCCAAAATAAAAAACTACGAAAAGATAGACAGATAGATAATTAACAGGGGAAAGCGCCAAGCCATTACGACTTGGCGCTTGTCAGTGTTAAGGGTGAGTTTGTTAGCAGTTAGCCAAAGATGGACTTTATTTAGCTCGGTATTCACTGTGACATTTAGAGCAAGAGGGTCAGGACTGGAGAAAATGAAGGTTGTGTCATGAGAAAATAAGATTGGTTTGAGGTGTTGAGAGGCATTTGGAGACTCATTAATGTAGATGAGAAAGAGGAGAGGGCCAAGTATGCTGCCCTGTGGAACACCGATGTTTATAGGTAGTGTCGGAGAAATGGAATTATTCACAGAAACATACTGGAGTCTGACATTAAGGTAAGACTGAAGGTATTGGAGGGAGTGACCTGTGACTCCATAATGATGTAATTTAAGAAGAAAGTTTTGGTGGCTGAGTGTCAAAAGCCTTACGCAGGTCAACAAATAACCCAACAGTGAACTCATTTGTATCAAGAGCTGCATGTATCAAGTTAATTATACTAATCAGTGCATCGTTAGTGCTTTATGTTTGTAACTCATCTTTTATGTATGTACTTTTACCTGAATAAACATTTTGATTTAGCCAATAAGCCTAGGGGACCTCGATAAGCCTAACAGAGTTCCTGATACCGACAATGGGACACCAAGTATTTACCTGTGTAGTACGGAGTGATGGGCTATTTGAATGTGAATTCACAATGAGACAAATAAGAAGCAAATCAGAAATATTCAGACACAGGCGGGAGTGGAGAGGAGAGAGATAATGTATGAGAGAAGTCAAACCATGCAACACTACATGTATGTGAGTCAAAACACCCATTTCACTTATGGTAAAAGGAGAAATGCTTGGAGTGACTCTGTGTACATGCGGCTCAGGCTTGGGTACAAATATTACTGGGAATATGGGATAGATGTTCATGGTAATGACACGAAGTGTAAACTATGTGGTATGTTAAGGTCTCACACCCTTGCCCATTATATTCTTGATTGTCCGTTGATTAATGTATATAGAAACACTGAGATAAGGACTGTTCCTGAACAAATAGCCTGGATGTGTCACAACGGAAAGGTTGATGATATTCTTGAGAGATATAAGAATTTTGCACCAAGATTGTAATATTTTGTTGAATTATCTGCAGGTGTCTTGCAAATTGTCTATACAGTATACCTAGGTCATAAAAGTATTTGTGTGTACGTCTGATACCATACTACTTGTGAAGGAGGAAATGTATATGTTTACCTCTCAGAATGTTTGGTAATATGTTTATTGTTTGTGATGTGTGTCTATGTATATATTAACACGTTGTACTGAATGGGGTGAGAATAGCTTGAGCTACCTCATCCCTTTGTGTGTATTTTACCTCAATAAACTTATTTCAATTTCAATTTCAATTTCAATGGGCTATTGGTGGGGTGGGTGAGAGGTCCCAAGTAAGCTAGGATGGGGAATTAGAAGGTGAGGTGAGGTGAGTGAGGTGTTTGTAACTCAGGAACTGGGGTCCCTGTGCGGGGGTTGTGTAGGGGGGAGGGGTGGGGGGTGGGTTGTTGTGGGAGGGGAGGATCTTCCTGGCCGCTAGTGGTGATGGAGTCCCTTGCTAAGGCCATGGCAGCGATGGCCCACAGGTAATGGTCGGCCAGTTGGGGTCTTGTTGGTGTGTGAGGGGAGAGAGGGGGGTGGGTGGGCACATGGTGGGGGGTACACGTGGTGGGAGGGGAAGAAGGGAGGCAAGTGGGGGGGTTGAAGGGGGTTGATGCCGCTCACACCGCCAGTGTTGGGACCGGCCACGTCTGGGATACCGACCACCGCCGCCACCTGGGCCCAGCGTGAAGTATCTTGTGCAAGACGACAGCTTGTGGCAAACCCGAAGCGTGTTGAGACGTCTTGCAAGTAAGGTCCTGGTGGTGAGGGGCCCTCCTGGCCACCCTGGGCCCCCTGCCACGGCGCAGGCCGCCTCTCTCTTACTCACTTTGACATTAACCTCTTTATGTTGACATGACATCATTGCATCATGGAGCACAACATAAAGTGCCCGTGAAGTGTAAATGAACATGTATCATAGCAAAATGTCAAGTGCACATGACAGGATCTTGCTCATGATAGATGCAGTTAGTGATACTAAATATATGATTTAATACTACTAATAATTATAATATTGTAAGTTATGCAAAAAGCGATACTGAAGTTCAAATCGAAAATGATTTTTAAATATTGTATAGAATTGAGTTAAATGGGGCTTTGTAGTGTATATGATTGCAAAAGTTGAAGTAAAAAATTTACTACACTGTATTCCAAGCATATTTGTTTTAATATTGGGCTCAGGTTAGGCTTAGGGTTGAGTTCATGGCTAGGCTAGCAAAGCTGGGACTAGGCAAGGCAAAGCAAGATGGGGCTAGGCTAGGCAAGGGTTTGGCTAGGTTGGACTTGGATTTTGGTTTGGTGAATTTAGGCTACCGATTTGCCACTATCATTTATTCTGCCTATATAGAACCCAAAGTTGTTTGTATCCAGGTAACTTGGCATTACCAGCTGGGCAACCATAGGGTATCTTGAGATGATGTCGGGGCTTAGCATCCCTGCGGCTCGGTCCTCGACCAGGCCTCCTTTTTGTTACATATCCCCAGGAAGCAGCCCATAGCAGCTGTCTAACTGCCCGGTACCTATTTACAGCTAGGTGAACAGGAGCATCAGGGTGAAAGAAACTCTGCCCATTTTGTTAACATCTCCACTGGGGATCAAACCCAGAACCTTAGGACTATGAATCCCAAGCACTGTCCGCTCAGCTGTCAACTGTCAGGCTATATATAATTGGCAGACATTTTCTTTTGCAGTACATTCATGTTTGATCAGATGATAGGCTGAAGTTGTCAGTATCCTGCCACCAACACCTATATATCTTAATTAAGGGCATGTACTGTATTTGCTTGACTTGAAAATATAATTTATGGGATTACTGTCTCCACTCGATCATCCGAACTATATGGAAAGGACCCCCCAGCCGGATAATCACGTGTTCCAGATAATGGTACTTTTTCACCTATGAGTCCAAAACTAATCATTTCCAACTATTTTTATACTACAAACAACATAATTTTAATTGTCTTGCCATACATAATTATTACATATTCAACTAGAAACCTCAACTTACCTTGTTGTTCATCTTCTTGATTGATGCCACACATCTTGAAGTTAAAAATTCTTGACAATTTACGTAACCTATACTAACACAACACTAAAATTAACACTTAAAATTACTGTACAGTTCATTAAGCAAAGTTAGTTTTCACTGCCAGCTGCGGAAGCCTCACTGGTTGAAGGCATTTGTCTTGCCTGTGACGCCTCACTTGTTGAAGGCGCTTGGTTTGATTTTCGTACCATATAAGAATCAAGTGTTGCTTGCCTTCTGTGTTCACTGGCCAGTTGTATGATAAGCTCTTTTGTTCGCCTCAGGTACGGATACATGTTTCCAACCTCTGGATGAGCACAATTGGATGAAAAATTTATTAATCCGTCAACATTGGTCATGAGTACACTATATTTTGAAGTCATTGGTGTTCTTTCTTTACTGCCTTCATCCTCCATCTCCACGTCGACCTCACCAGTAATAGACTGGAGAATCTCGTCTTCACTCATCACACAATATCTTGGGTCATTGGCATCTTTTTCAAGCCAATCAACTACATCCTGTCTTTCTACGTTTTCGCCGGCATTTCTAAACATTCCATGGATTTCATCTGTAAATCCTTCAAAATCCATTTCTGCATCCTCCTCATTTCTGACCGAAGATGTGAGGAGTTTTTTCCAGGAATTTTTCAAAGTCGATTCCTTTACTTCACTCCATACCTTGGCCCTGTTATAGATGGCTTCCTTGATTGTATAGTTCTTCAAATATTCAAGTTTTTTTTAGCCCTGTTATCCACACCGAGTTCATTATCTTCCGAAAGAGGCAAAACCACCAAAACTTCGTTTACCATCTTTTTGGTGAACAACCTCTTCGTGGCACAGATCAACCCCCTGATCCATAGGCTGAATGAGAGAGGTTGTGTTAGGAGGAAGTGCCATACACGTTATCTTGCCATCATGTGAGGTTAACGTGTCAATTTTTGGGTGGGCAGGCGCATTATCAAGCAGCAGCAAAGCCCGAACTTCACTTGGCCTTACTTTGAGTTTCTTAACTTGATAGGCACGAACTTCCCTGCAGAACACGTCATGAAACCAGGAAAGAAAGATCTCCTGTGTAAACCATGCATTTTGTGAGTTATAGTATTTCACTGGCAGTCTGTCCATGCAATGTTGCAAGGCTCTTGGTTTCTTTGATTTGCCAACAATTGCACACGTGATTCTGTCTGTGCCTTCGGCATTCGCACACATCATGGCCGAGAGCCTGTCCTTGTTGACCTTACGGCCTGGCACACAACCCTCATTCCTCATTGCTAGAGTTTTTTCTGGTAAATTCCTCCAATACAGCCTAGTTTCATCAGCATTATAAATTTGATAAGAATATGAATTATTTGACAAAATGTATGCTCTTAATTTCTGTTTAAATGGTTCTACACTGCTTTCATCTGCACTCAATTTTTCACCAACAATTTTCCTCTTCACAATATTGTGCCTACCTTTGAACCTTGCAACCCACCCTTCACTGGCTTCGAAATTCTTTATTCCAAGGCTTGCCGCAAACCTGCTTGCAGCATTTTGTATTTCTGGGCCGCGAATTGTCACGCCAGCTGTGCGGTGCTGAGCAAACCACTTGTACACAGCCTCATCCAACTATACATGTGTCGAAGTTTTCATAGTTTTTCTACCACACCCTCTGCTAGTGCTTGCACCTTCACTTTCACAGGTTGAAATGTATTTCAGAATTTTCTCTCTTTGTTTCCTTATATCAGAAACAGTACTAGTGCCTATATTAAATTCCTTGGCAACACTTGAAGTCAATGGCCATTTTCACTAAGTTGTATAACATGTAACTTGTCCTTAATTGTTAGGACAACATTCTTCCTCTTAACACCTCCAGAACGATTGATGCTGCTACCAGACATAGTCTTGGCCAAAACTGTTCAAAGTTACTATCAAAATTAAAAAGTTATTTAAAAAAATATTTCACTAATGGTGGGACACTGTGGTATAACACGAGGGTCGAGAGCACATGGCTTGACCAGGCGTGGACGGGTCCACTTGGGGCAAGGAGGCACGTTACATAGACCGCCAGCATGAAAAAACAAATATTTTTGAAGGAAACTGCAGCCTGTGCAAATTGTTTTTAGGAAATTTTTATGGCATTTTTTATTGCATAATTACTGGTATTTCTTTTGATTTTGTCTATGATGAATTGTTCAAAAATTAATGGTAATTCCTGTACTGTAGTGTATAGGCCGCTCCACTTCCCCCTTATCCCCACAGGTGGTCCCCTCCTAACGCTCCCCTCTCTCCCGACACCACCCTCCCACCCCACCCTACCCCCTCCTCCACCATGCGCCTCGAGCCACAGGCAGATGGGATTAATACGGTACGGACCACCCCCATGGCTTTCATATCTGGACAATTCAATGATTATCCGGCTGACTGTCCAGATAGTATAACATCGGCAGCAAGTTAACCGGCTCCGATTTTTTATCCGGCTAAACGAGCTTTTATCCGGCTCTCATGGCCATTTTGGCTGGATATTGAGATAACTTTATCTGGTCATGATTTTGGTCATATAAAGGCGTTTTCCGGATGTTCGAATCCCGGATAATAGAGTGGTTACAGTAGTGTCCTCATGGCCTTCCTCCTACCACAGTAACCAGCGATGGGAAACAACTCTGGCAAGGTTGCGTATTGGCTATACACACTTCACTCACGGTCACTTAACCACCATGCTGCGCCGAGTTTGTGAAATTCCCTCCTGTGCGTATGAAATAGTGTTCCCCCCCAAAAAAAAATTTCTTTGTAAAATGATAAAATCCCTTCCATGAACATGTCTATGTCAAAATAAATACCAAATTCCACTTTGGCTGTGGGGACGTGGACAAGGTGCGCTGTGACTTCATTAGGGGCTGGTCGTCCTTTCGTGACACGCCCAGACACGATCGTGCGGGCCATTCAAGCACCGGGTGTTGCCTCAAATATATTTTCAATTATTTGTTCTATGTATTTCCAATGCAGTTTTATTTTTTGTATTTTTTTTTTGTATGATGCTTATTTGTGTCCTTTACAATATGTATACAGTAGAACGTTCATAATGTTCCATGGAACTGTGATACATGTGTCAGTAATGTGTCCACAATAAATGTTTGTCGTAATGTTACTTGTTAAAATATCACTAAAATTACAATGTGTACAGTTTCACACATTACACAGTAACACAGTGTTACACACTCAGTACTTCAGAAATGAGTATTAATTAACGAAGTAGTCCATGGTGTATAGTGCGACTTCGCTCTCGGTGTACCAGGTATAGATAGATTTTTGCTTCCTGTTTCTTCGTTCTGTGTGCTTGCAAATAATGTACTCGCGTACACCCGTGGCTTTAATACTTGTAGGTTGTATGTAGCCAAGCTGGTAAAGCACAAGGTAGTATTAAAAAGATTATAGGAAAAGATCAGTTTGTGAAGTAGTCTTGAAAAGATAGCCTTGTAAGGTCCCCACACAGGAAGAAATTCAGCTTGCTTCAAAGAGTGTCCGTCAGTCAGGAAGAGATTCAGCTATTCTTGAAAATATCTATGGAAACCATCACCACCATGAGAACTGCTAACACTGTTCATCTATGCTACTTGTATCAGATACAGCATCACTAAATGCTGAAAACTATTCATCTGTGTATCATCTATATAAATGGGAGATAATATGAAATTGAAATAAGTTTATTGATGTAAAATACACACAAAGGGATGAGGTAGCTCAAGCTATTCTCACCCCATTCAGTACATCGTGTTAATACATACATATACACACATCACAAACAATAAACATATTAGGAGATAATATGGGTGGGCAAGGATGGTGCTCAGAGCTACAACTGGATACGCTCTCTGTATCATCCTCATAGATGCAATATCACTTGCATCCGACCTTTGTGTTAGGTCCTTATTTCGCCTAGCTTCACCAATATCATGACCCTTAAGTTCTTCAAACAATAAGAAGGTTTGAATTTCGCAGACAGCGCGCGATCTTTCAACATTGCGTTGGACAGGTGTCTGGGAGCCAGAGGCGCGTGCACCACCCATGGTTGCTCACTCAGTACTAACCCAGCCAGCAGCCCTAGGGCATTCTGGGAATTTTTCCCAAGATGGCTGCCTCTCACTGGAGGTCCTAAGAGTCCATTTCGTACACAACCAACCTTGCACACATTTAGAATGGGTACCGAAAAATCAGTTTTCTTGGTTGGCACAGTTTCTCGCCAACCGAGAATACTCGGTTTGCGCAGTTAAGTGGTTAATGGAGCGCTGTCCTGCTCCTTATTGTCCAAATTACATTGTCCCTCTTACGGTCGTGCATACCCTTGTTGAATGTCCTGACTTCCAGGACAAGTGTGTCTTGCTTTCTGACTGTCCCTCGTGTTCTCCTGTCCCTCGATAGAATTCTTGGTGAATCTGATACTTTTGACGTCGTTTGTCTTATACGTTTCTGTTCTCATATTGGCATCCTTGGTGATATTTAACGCCCTCTGATTATTCCGCACATTTAATGGTGCTACATAACCTTCCCGATTTGGTGCCTTCTTTTGATAATTACTTACTTAATTATTTTATGTGTTTTATTTTAAAAAGTTTTATTTTTTGTTATAAAAATACAGTATTGTTAGTACAGTACTGTATGGTGCACGGTGCTTACCTAAATTGTACTTTGTTTCAATATTAAATATTAATGATAATGATTTATACAGTATTAGCATTTGTGTTTGAGTTTGTGTTATATTTAGAATGTTTTCTTAAAACAGAATGGAAGGTGCCGGCTACAAAGAGGACTCGATGCTACAGGCTCTGATGAAGACTACTGAACAAGGACAATCCATGTAAGATTTATTCATTAAATCTGGGCAGCTTCACATTTTATTAAGACTTTGAGTTGATAAGGATCAGTTTTGTTTTCTCGCTTCTTAACACTTTCGCGCTCTCCGCAAAGGTCACTCAGCCAACCGAATGTGCGCGCTGCGTTTTTATCGCTTAAGCGTAAAAACAAAAATGTGTATACTCTTTTTACTCTTCTGACCTTAGTTCTCATGCTACGTATTTCATTTTGGTACCAACGTGTTCGCAATAAAATTCTCTAGAAGAACATTAGTAAAATAAGTCACGAAACATATAGGGATACCAGCACCAAATAAATAACTACGTAGATGACTCGCCGTGAGCGGCCATCAGCAACAAAATGTTTTTACTCTTGGGATTGTAATCACCTCCACACTTGCTCTACAGCGTTAATTTTGGTATCAATGGACTCGCAATGAAATTCCCAACACGGTGATATGAATATAAGCGTAGAATAATGATGCAGCCCGCCCGCAAGAGTGTGGGAAGTGGTGAAATTGTTACCCGGTATCGGTGACGGGACGACGCACGGCGCTTTGAAAGTTTATACTTATTTCACTCTCATGACATTAATTTTCTATGTACGTCATTCATTTTTGTGTCAATGTGTTTGCAATAGAATGTTCTATGTGCCCATAGGTAAAAAATATCAACAAAGCGTAAGTTAGAATAGCGACAAATATAAAACAACGCTGGAACATAATCAGTGAGCGTCAAACACACACGAAATATTTTTACTTTTGTTATGTTTGTCAAGATTATACTTGTTGCACACAGTTATTTTTGGTTGTATATTGATCGGAATAAAATTCCCTAAACAGACATATGCATATAATACATGATATGGGGGAAGAATTACCAGTATAAACGGCTAAAGTCACCCACCTGCAACCCGTTTGGGACAAAATACCATTTGATCGAAGTTATCCACACCTTTCATGAACTTATTGTACCATGCAGCCTAGTGGTGAGAAAGAGAGCCTCATAGCGCGCAGTTTGAAACAAACCCAAAGTAAATCGGATAAAAATTGAATTTTATACAAATATTTTAAAAGTTGACATAACTTTATGTCCACTATGCGTTTACGTTAGACGAAACCGAACGCGCCGGCGCGTCCAGATAGCGCGAAAGTGTTAATTGTGTATTGGCTTGCCATATCTAAAAGACCCAGGACTCTACTATTCAAAGAACATCTGCATAAGAACTGGGTAAGGAAGGGTGGCTGCATGGTTCCACATGGGCTGCCTGATTTTTGGTACAGTATTTGGTTCTGAGTTTGACATTAATTTCTTGGGGGAGCCTCGTCGGCTCCCCGGAGCTATCCAAGCTGATGTGCTAATGTCAGGCTTCGGCATCAGTCGTGTGTGTGGAGTTCTGTGGGCCTACCAGGGACCATGAGCCAGAACCTGGGCCCCCTCAGAGAGGCATGGGGAGCAATGGCCTATAGAAATCCCCATGTGGTTTTGGAAGCATTCTATGTCTGCCATCGACTGGGTTAGGCGCCCAGAAAGGTAGGCATCCCAAAACAAACCCATATTCTGGTCAAAATTGCTACAAAAAGCCGAGCAAATGAATAGAACTCCTCAAACAGAAATGAGCAAACAAGTATGACGTTACATGTTGCTGCGCCGCCGTCTGCGCAGCTCCCCCCCTCCCCGGGATGGGAAGGGGAAGCCCCAGACCCCCGTGCTGGCCATCCATACCCCAGTTCTGAGGCTGATGCTATAGGGAACAGTTGTGTGCTCTAGTTCCAGTAGTTGTTTCAGCACTGTGCCTTATGTGTGCTGACTGTCTTCTAGGTCTTTTGGGCGCCTGACAGCTGGGTGGACAGCGCTTCGGATTCGTAGTCCTGAGGTTCCGGGTTCAATCCCCAGTGGAGGTGGAGACAAATGGGCAAAAAGTTTCTTTTACCGTGATGCCCCTGTTACCTAGCAGTAAATAGGTACCTGGGAGTTAGACAGCTGCTACGGGCTGCTTCCTGGGGGTGTATAAGAAAAAGGAAGGCTGGTCGAGGACCGTGCCGCTGGAATGCTAAGCCCCAAAATCATCTCAAGATAACCTCAAGATAGGTGGTGCATGAGCCAGGAGTGATTCTCTAGTACTCAGGCTGTATGCACCTAGGGTTTCCTTCCCTAGGTGTTCTATAAGTACTGCCCTTTGGGCCACCTTCCAAGTTCCATGGGTTCTGCCTCTGCTAGGCCGTTTACTGCTTGGTTTTCAGCCGCCCTTTGTAATTACCTAAGTGTAATTACCTAAGTGTAGTTACAGGATGAGAGCTACGCTCGTGGTGTCCCGTCTTCCCAGCACTCTTTGTCATATAACGCTTTGAAACTACTGACGGTCTTGGCCTCCACCACCTTCTCACTTAACTTGTTCCAACCGTCTACCACTCTATTTGCGAAGGTGAATTTTCTTATATTTCTTCGGCATCTGTGTTTAGCTAGTTTAAATCTATGGCCTCTTGTTCTTGAAGTTCCAGGTCTCAGGAAGTCTTCCCTGTCGATTTTATCAATTCCTGTTACTATTTTGTACGTAGTGATCATATCACCTCTTTTTCTTCTGTCTTCTAGTTTTGGCATATTTAATGCTTCTAACCTCTCCTCGTAGCTCTTGCCCTTCAGTTCTGGGAGCCACTTAGTAGCATGTCTTTGCACCTTTTCCAGTTTGTTGATGTGCTTCTTAAGATATGGGCACCACACAACAGCTGCATATTCTAGCTTTGGCCTAACAAAAGTCATGAACAACTTCTTTAGTATATCGCCATCCATGTATTTAAATGCAATTCTGAAGTTAGAAAGCATTGCATAGGCTCCTTGCACAATATTCTTAATGTGGTCCTCAGGTGATAGTTTTCTATCTAGAACCACTCCTAGATCTCTTTCTTTATCAGAATTCTTTAAAGATTTCTCACATAATATATAGGTTGTGTGGGGTCTATGTTCTCCTATTCCACATTCCATAACATGACATTTATTAACATTAAATTCCATTTGCCAAGTGGTGCTCCATATACTTATTTTGTCCAGGTCTTCTTGAAGGGCATGACAATCATCTAAATTTCTTATCCTTCCTATTATCTTAGCATCATCAGCAAACATGTTCATATAATTCTGTATACCAACTGGTAGATCATTTATGTACACAATAAACATCACTGGTGCAAGAACTGAACCCTGTGGTACTCCACTTGTGACATTTCTCCATTCCGATACATTGCCTCTGATTACTGCCCTCATTTTTCTATCAGTCAGAAAATTTTTCATCCATGATAGAAGCTTACCTGTCACCCCTCCAATATTTTCCAGTTTCCAGAACAACCTCTTATGTGGAACTCTGTCGAAAGCCTTTTTTAGGTCCAGATAGATGCAGTCAACCCAGCCATCTCTTTCCTGTAATATCTCTGTGGCCCGATCATAGAAACTGAGTAAATTCGATACACAGGATCTTCCTGATCGAAAACCATACTGTCTGTCTGATATTATATCATTTCTCTCCAGGTGTTCTACCCATTTAGTTTTGATTAGCTTTTCCAATACTTTCACTATTACACTTGTCAATGATACAGGTCTATAATTGAGGGGGTCTTCCCTGCTGCCACTTTTGTAGATTGGAACTATGTTAGCCTGTTTCCACACGTCTGCTACGATTCCTGTACACAGGGATGCCTGAAAGATCAGGTGAAGTGGAATGCTGAGCTCAGATGCACATTCTCTCAGAACCCATGGTGAAACGCCATCTGGGCCAGCTGCTTTGTTCCTCCCGAGCTCCTTTAGCATATTTTCCACTTCATCTCTAGACACCTCTATCCGCTCTATGTTGTTCTCTGGAATTCTTATTGTGTCTGGTTCTCTGAAGATTTCATTTTGTACAAACACACTTTGGAACTTTTCATTTAATGTTTCACACATTTCCTTTTCATTTTCCGTGAATCTGTTTCCCATTTCCAACCTCTGGATATTATCCTTTACCTGCAATTTGTTGTTTATGAATTTGTAGAATAGGCCCGGTTCTGTTTTACATTTATCCGCTATCCCTTTTTCAAAATTTCTTTCTGCTTCTCTCCTTACTGCTGTATAATTGTTTCTCGCATCTTTGTATCGCTGGTATGTTTGGGGGTTTGGCCTCTTCCTATACTGATTCCATTTTTGTGTCTTTTGGTCTCTTGCCCTCTCACAATTTCTGTCGAACCAATCCTGTTTTTTGGTCCTGCATCTCTGTTTTGGTATGAATGTTTGTGTGCCTTCCTCGTATAGTTTTAAAAATTTGGCATACATTTCATTTACTTCCCTGCCTAGCAACAATTCTGTCCAATTACACTCATTAAAAAAATTTTGAAGTTCCCCATAGTTGCCTCTCTTTAAATCGAGTTTATCAACTGTTTCAATGTCCCCATTTTCTTCTAGATGATATCTTAAAGCATATTTAATGTCTAACAGGACGTGATCACTCTTTCCCAAGGGAGGAAGGTACTGGATGTCAAAAATCTCTTCTTCTTTCCTGGTGAATACTAGATCCAGTACTGACGGTATATCTCCTTCCCTCATTCTTGTGGCTTGCTTTATGTGTTGATACAAGAATGTCTCCAGAATGAGGTTCACAAATCTGCATGTCCAAAAGTCCTCCGTTCTTGCTTCTTTTGTGTTCCTTTGTTCCTTTGTGTGCTACTTTGTGTGCTAGGGTGTTCTGTCTTCCTTGTTTGCCTTAGGGTAGGGGGCAGTTTGCACAGGTAGGAGTGCAGGGTACTGCACAGCTTGTTTTCACCAATCATAGCGGCCAGCTCTGTTCTGCCTGCGTACGCTGTCCTCTTGCTGGGTTTTCTTTTTCTTTTTGTTTGCTTGCCTGCCTGGTGGGGGGGGGGTTTGCCTTGGTTATTGAAACCCCCGTGGACCTTCGACCCAGAGTCCGGCGAGTTTTGTTGCTCGTTTGTGACTCCGTTACCCAGTTTTATGCTGACTATGTGGGTGCAGGCAGCACGGGCCTTGC